CTTCTCTGCCCTAGGAGCCTGGGATGGAGGTGGGGAGCTTCTTTCCAGGTGCTGGGACCAGTTTACCTTCTCTGCCCTAGGAGCCTGGGATGGAGGTGGGGAGCTTCTTTCCAGGTGCTGGGACCAGTTTACCTTCTCTGCCCTAGGAACCTGGAATGGCAGCGGGGGAGCTTCCTTCTGGGTGCTGGGACCATCCCCATAGATTTTTTTTAACTACCTCATTGATTTTGACAGAAAAGGTCACTGGGAATTGACTGAAACTACATTAAATCTATAGATCATTTTAGGAAGAACTGAACACAGTTTTGCCTTCCAACCCATGAACATGTTACTCACCTCTCTCCCCAGTCATTTAGGATTTCTTTAATATTTTTCAGCCATGTTTTTTTATCTTTAGCATGTTGAAAACATAAATCTGGCTAAAAGCTCCCAACAGCAGCCATGCTGCCTCCTCAACATCAGACTGCCTTGAAATTTCTTCTGTGAGATTAATTAGTCCACCGCCCCTAATCTCAGTCTCAGGCAAAGTCTCTGGACACGAGCAAAATGCAGACAAACTTTCTGCCAAGCCATAACACACATTGTCTGGAGTCCAGCAGCCAACACGGTCCTTCTTCCCAGCAGAAACCTCCTGAGCTGGGTCTTGACCGGCTTTCTGGTCTTCTGAGCTCTGACCAGAACATCCCATACAGAACAGCATAAGGCATCCAGCTCTACTTTTTCAGCCAGGGTCTCCAAATCTTTCCTAACTCTTCCCCTTCCCACAAGCCAGCTCCAAAGGCTCTTGAGCCACATGGCCAGGTAATGTCACAGCAACGATCCCACTTCTCAGCTACCAAATTCTGTGTTAGTTACTTTTCTCACACGGCTGAGACAAACAAAATATCCAACAGTCCAAGTTAAAGGGGGAAAGGTTTATTTAGCTCACAGTGTGTAGAGGTTTCAGTCCATAGTCAGCTGGCTCCAAGGCAGGGATGGCACATGTCAGAGGGGCAACAGTTCATGGCAGCAGAAAACACCAAAAGCAACAAGCGAAACTTAAGTATGTCTTCCTGTCCCTTTTACCTTATTCAGACCACTTAGGACCTTAGTTCTCAGCACTCAGGACCTTAATCCTAGTGTAGCACTCAGGACCTTAATCCTAGTGCTCGCGGGCCTAGCATTGCACCATGAATCAATCACACACTCTAGATTCACCCACCTCTGAAACAGCTGCATCTACGACTGCATGAGGCTTTGAGGGACATCTAGATACAAGCCATAACACATTCATAGGGCTTTTGTTTCTTTTCTTGCGGTATTGTGATGTTAAGGACCAGGTACCATTAGAGGGGGCAGGTATTTCTGCCTTGTCTTGGTCTTGGGGAGGCTTTCCCCATAAAGGGTAATGGAGGTTCCCTTTTATTCCTAGTTTTCTGGGGTTTAATATTCTTAATAAGCAGATGTTGAATTTTATCAAATGCCCTTTTTACAACTGTGAAAACAATCACAGGGCCTTTTCTTTTTACTTATTAACATAAGTAAGAAGACATACTGAATCACTTTTTTGATGTTGAGCCAACCTCATATTGCAGACATAAACCCACTTAGCCATGAGCATGCTCTTTCTACACAGTGCTGGATTCAAGTTGCTAATGTTTTAAGGAGACAAACAGATCTGCAGGTCTCCTTTCTCCTGATGCCCCTGTCATATTGGGTATGCTGGAATAAGGTGGGGAGTTTGCCCTCCTCTGCCGCCTTCTGAAACTGCTTGGTGAAACTGGTGTTATTTCTCCCGCAAACACTCAGAACCCAACAGCAAAGCCATTTGAGATTGTCGTTTGCTTTGTGATAAGGGTTTCAATTACGAATTGAACCTTTTCAATTGATAGAGGGCTATTCGGATTCTCTCTTTTTTTCCTTGTATTAGTTTTTGTCCTTTGTATCTTTCTGGTTATGCCCCTGTTTCAGCGAAGTCGCTGAATGTTTGGGCAGTAAGTTATTTGTGGTGTTTCTTCACTGTCTTCTTAATGGCCATAGAACTGGGAGTGGTGACCCTTTTTTCTTTCCTGATATTGGTAACTCATTTCCTCTTTCTTTTTCGTGACCAGTAAAACTGGAAAATTGTTGATCTTGCTGATTTCTTTTTTTTTTTTCTAGATTGGGCTTCATTCACTGTGTCCATTTTCTGTTCTGTAGCTGTGGTTATTTCCTCTGTCGGGTTATTTGGGGGCTCAGCCTGTAATCTTTTATCCCCTTCTTGTGGCAATTCTACTTTCATTTTGTTCAAAATATTTCCTAATTTCCATTGTGATTTCTTTGAATCGTGGAGTATTTTTAAATGTACTGTTTGGTTTCCAAAGATGTGGTGATTTCCAAAATATCTTTCTGTTATTAACTTCTTGGTCTGTTGTGGTCAAACATCATACTCTACTTCAGTCCTCTTGAATGTGCTGTGGTTTCTTTTAAGGCTTAGCTGGTGATTTATTTTAGTGCACATTCAACAGAACATGCTCTCTGCTGTTGTATGTGGATTATCATGCAAGTGTCCATTCGCAGCCTGGCCTGTAGTAGTTTTTCTATACATTCACCAATTGTTACGATTTAGTTCTAGAATGTCCCCCAAAGTCGCATTGTTCAGGGGCTTTGGGATGGTGACAGGATCATCAGGACATTGTATTCATCAGTGGACTCATCCCTTGATGGATCCAGGAACTGAATGTGCTGTTGGGAGGAGGAGCCTGATTGGAGGCATTCACCAGAGTATGCACTGGAAGGCTGTGTTCTTGTCCCCAGCTCCTCCCCTCTCTGTGCTTTGGCAGCCCTGAGGTGAGCAGCTTCCTCCACCACACCCTCTGCCATGACCTTTCTACCTTGGAGCAGCTGACCATGGACTGAGACTCCTGAAACTGTGAGCCAAGTAAACCTCTCCTCCTTCAATTTGTGGGCATTGAACATTCTGTCCCAGTGCCTGGAAAGTGACAAATACAGCAGTGTTATCAAATCTGATGTCAAATGCCTGACATCTTCCCTGTAAGTGTTTTCCTGCCCTCTTCCTCATTTGTCTGAGCCCCGTGTACACGTCTGCCCAACACTTACTCCTCTGCCCTAAGCCCAAGGGCTCTCACGACTTTTAAATGCTTTATTTTCTCACTGTCCTTTGGTTTGGGTAGCTGCTGTATCTCAGGTTCACTAATCTTGTCTTCTGCATGGTCTCATCTTGGGGTTCATCTTCATTCTGATTGTTGTGTTCTGTGTCTCAGCTCCATTTGGTGCCCCATCCTTTCCCCCTTATGTTCCTTTTCCTTTTGTTGATTCAGACAGAAATAGTGAATTGGCAAAGTGCAGCTCTGCTTGCGACCCTGATAACAAAGCATAATGGCGGGGAGAGGAGTTGGGCTGTAGTCGGGCTGCACCCGTATTGGAGTGGAGAGGGGGAGAGGAGCAGAGCAACCTCTAGACAGCCAGGGAGGACATGAAGCAGGCTGTCCCAGTCCGTGGTGGGGATGGGAGAAGCAAGAGAGTCCGGCGCTTCCCCCGTTGCTTCCAGCTCCCCTGTCTGCCGATGCCTCCGACTGCTGCTGCAGGGTTTGCTCCATGCCTTGGTGATGGGCCCTAGTGTCCTCTCCTCATGCCCGGTCACCAGGGCCCAGAGTGGCACACCGTGTTTCTCCCTGTGAACCAGCACCAACTCCCAGCCCACTTTCCCTGGAAGCAGCATGGCCTCCGGGCTCCTGAGCTGTCTCTGGGGCTGGGTGCAGACTGTGCCCTGACCCGAGGGCAGGATCACCACTTGCACTGGATGCAGCTCTGCCCAGTCCACACTGACAAGTCTTCCAGTCAGGGAGGGCCCTGCTCTGGTCATCGGGAACCCAAACACCTCCCACCCTTGGAAGCGACCTGTCCCAGGGACCCAAGGATCCACTCCTACCAGCCCACACCCACCTGAGACACGCGCTGCCCGGGATCCTCCAGGAGGACACTGGCCGTGGTCCTGCAGGACACGTGACCTCAGCCCAGCTCCTTCAGGCCTCTAGGCTCCGTGAGAAATGTCATGGCCCCCATCCGACCCAAGACCAGTGTGCCCTGCCTCCTCAGGCCCTGTAGTGAACAGGGAGAGCCCAGTTAAGGACCCTGTCGGGTGGGGTGAGGCCAGGCCAAGGCAGAGCTGGTGGTGGTGAGCATGGGCAGCAGGAGCATGACTCGGACTCCCCACTGCCCATGCGACCTCACCACCCATGCGGAGGGCACTCAGGGCCAGGGGGGCCACAGAGAGTCTAAAGCTGGATGAGACAGGTGCTTCACTGTGGGCCCTCGACTGGCCCCAGTACAACTTCTGCATGAAGACATCCTGAGCAGTGAGATGGGCAGACAGGAGTCTAGACATGAGCAAGGTGAATGCTCCGCATGGTGACAGTGACCCTCGGGGTCAGGGTCAGCCCTGGCCAGGTAAAGGGCCAGCTGGGGCCAGGGAGCACTGGGTTACCTTGCCTCAGGCCTGGGGAGGCAGAGGCCAAGGTATGGGTCTCTGGGCCATTCCGGGCCTGTAACGTCTCCAGGTCTGCATCGGGTCAAGATGGCGTTGGACACAGCGTGGTTTTAGGTCCCAGTCACCACCTGTGTCGGCCAGCTTCCCATCACTGTAGCAAATCCCAGACAGAATCGACTTATAAAGAGAAAAAGTTTCTTTTGGCTCATGGTTTCTGAGGCCATGGTCACAGGCCCCATGGGACTGTGGACAAGGAAGAACACACCGGTGGGGGACATGAGTCAGAGTGAGAGGGGGCTGGGGGCTGCCGCCCCTCTGAGGTGCAGCCCACCTGGCAGGAGGCCTCCCACGACGTCCTCCTCCTGGGGCCTCACCAGCTCGGAGCAGTGCCACACCAGGGTGAGCCTGTGGCACGGATGCCCTCTGGGGACACCTCGGTACTTCCCCTGTGCTGTTGCTAAGCCAGTGAGAGCCCAGGTGACAGCCTTTATCAAATCAACCACCCACAGGAGCTTCACTGCTGTGAAGCAGACCTCGAGAGGCAAGGCCAACGCTGCCTGCTGGTGGAGTCGGTGCCGACGTTAGGCTTCCGTGGGGCGCACACCTCGGCCTCCCAGCAGCCTCCTACCCTGCCGCAGAGCAGAGCCAACCAGGGAGAGGCTGAGCCATCCCAGTCTACTCAGGTTGCTCTGAACTCTGTCCAGTGCCCAGGGCCAGGCGTGTGGCTGCTGGCCGTGAGCGGTCCCTTCCCTTCTGCCTGGAGCCAGTCGCCCGCTGGCAGGCACCGGGCACCCACTGTCCCCACCCATGGCTGTTGAACCCTGGGCAGGTGGCAGGGCCGGCATTGGGCCCCTCAGCAGCCCCAGCATGTCCTCATCCAGACTCCATCCTCAGAGGCTTCTTGGAACATCCTGATGGCTCCTGCTGCACCCCTGCCACGCGTCCCCGGTGGACTTGGAGTCACAGTGTCCTTGCCCCGCTGGGACAGCCCACGCACTTGGAGGGCTAGGAGCCTGACTCGTTACCTGTACCTGGCAGGACTCAGAGAGCCGAGGGAGACGGACACAGAGGCCTGGCCTCACTGCCCACATGGCTCCCACACCAGAGGCACCACTGGAGCCCACGGGAGTATTTCCGGTGGCACAGACGTGGCAGGTGCTGCTCGTGGGTGGAAGCCAAAGTGTGGAGGGGGGGTTACAAAGGCAAAGCGAGCAGAACTGTGAAGTGAATGACGGCAGAGGTGGGTCAGGGACAAACCCACAGTGACCTCAAAGGGGCAAAGGCTTGCAAAGCCAGCCTCACCCTCTGCCATCAGTCCAGACTGGGGGATCCACACTGCCCTGGGCACACAGGGCCACAGAGGACCGGAGGGAGCAGAGCATGGTGTGCAAAGGGGGAAAACATGGCCATGTGGTCCAGCAGAGGACACAGCCAGGGACAGGGAGCCAGGGCTGATTCAGTTAGTGCCTTTATTGGTCAGTTTGTTCAATGCACAGGGGAGGGAGGAGGGAGAGTGGGCTTGGCCACACGGCATCTAGAAGCCCTCCCAAGGGCAGCAGCACTGAGACGGACCTTTAGCTTCTCAAGTCCGTTCAGCCTGCAGCAGGCTGGACAAGCAACATCAGGACATGGTCTAAGGGTGGGAGCAATTCAGGCACAGCTATCAGCTTCCAGGTAGGACCTGAGCCCATTGGCCCTGAGGGACAAGACCGGTCAGCAGCAGGACTTCTGGCCCAGGGAGAGGCCTCAGCAGGCCGGGTGGGGGCAGGTGGGGCGGCAGAGCAGGGACAGGGAGGAGGAGGGCTTGCAGCAGCTGGGCTGGCAGGAGGAGGTGCAGCAGGAGGAGGTGGGCACACAGCAGGCGGGTCTGCACACGGGGCGGCAGAGCAGGGACAGGGAGGAGGAGGGCTTGCAGCAGCTGGGCTGGCAGGAGGAGGTGCAGCAGGAGGAGGTGGGCACACAGCAGGCGGGTCTGCACACGGGGCGGCAGAGCAGGGACATGGAGGAGGAGGGCGTGCAGCAGACGGGCTTGCAGCAGACGGGCACGCAGCAGGACGGCTGGCAGGGGGAGCAGGAGCAGCAAGCTGGCTGGCAGCCAGACTGCTGGCAGCAGGAGGAGGAGGCCCCGGAGCAGACGGGGGTGCAGCAGACAGGCTTGCAGCAAACAGGTTTGCAGCAGACAGGTGTGCAGCAGACAGGCTTGCAACAGATGGGTGTGCAGCAAATGGACTCACAACAGGATGGCTGGCAGGATGAGCAGCAAGCCGGCTGGCAGCCAGACTGCTGGCAACAGGAAGAGGAGGATCCAGAGCAGACGGGCTTGCAGCAGACAGATGTGCAGCAGACGGGCTTGCAGCAGACAGGCTTGCAGCAGAGAGACTCACAGCAGGATGGCTGACTGGACGAGGAGCAGCAAGCCGGGCTGGACTCGCAGCTCACTGGGGTGCAGATGAGGCTCAGGCAGGGGCCCGGGGCACAGCAGCTGGGCTGGCAGCAGCTGGGGGTGCAGCAGGGGGCCTCGCAGCAGCTCTCTGGGCAGTTGTCCACCTGCCAGGGCCTGGTACAAGTGCTGGAGCAGATGGACATGATGGAGGCGGCCACGGCAGGGCTGGGCTGGGGAGGTGAGTGTGTGAGTGTGAGTGAGTGTGAGTGAGTGAGGTGTGTGTGAGGCACTGGGCTCTGGGCTTTTATCCCCGTCCCTGGCGGTGCTGCCCTGTCCCTGTTCAGGCCCAACAACTTCCTCCTTCCTTGTTGGTGTTTGCAGCCTCTTCCTGGAGGCAACAGCAGCAGTGACTCTGTTGCCTGTTTTGTGCTCAGGTCACAGCCCCAGACAGGACTGGGCTGGGCTACAGGTGCTAACTTGTTTTCAGTCTCAGAGAGCAAACCAGGGAAGCTGGGGTCCTGTGGGAGCCTACGCAGTGCTGTCGGCCAGGGACACCCATGCCTGCAGGTGCTGGACAGGGTGAGGGCACCATGGTCACCGCCAGCCTTCGTTGCTGGGCTGCTGACCTGGGTCCTGTCCAGGGTGGGCCAGAGAAGGACGCTGTCTGGCTTCAGACTGAGTGTCATGAGCCGTGTGTGCATCAACGTGCAAGACTCCCATGGGAGCCTCTCACCTGCACCATGGCTGGAGGAGCTTGGGTCTCAGCCTGGAGGGCAGATGTCCAAGTTCGGATGTGGGGCACCCTGCACGTCCTGGCTCAGGGTGTCGTGGCCACTGCTGGCGTCCCTGGCTCATACAGGCACCGTCTGGGCTCGGCCTGTCTCGCTCCACTCAGCGCCTGCCCTGCGTTGCTGTGTCTGAGTTGCTTCTCCTAAGGGCGCAGTCAGGCTGGAGCAGAGCCCACCCGCTGACTCTCTTACTGGACCTGCCGCAAGGCCCTATTCCCAAGGTCACCGCACAGACCCTGGGGTCAGGGGAGGACTCAGCGTCCTCTGGGAGGAGGCAGTTCAGTGAAGCAGACCCGATGCCAAGACCCGGCAGAGATGCCCACGGGCTCCCGTCCGGAGCTGCTGAGGACAGGAGCCAGGGGCACAGGACACGGGCCCCAAAGCACGTGTGTGTGTAGACACAGCGTTGGCACACGGTGCCTCCACATCTTAGCGAATAGTCGTTAGAGTGGTGGCGAGGGCCCACAGGAGCCCCACGCCACTTCCTGTGCTGTTGTCCAGGGCGCACCCATGGTCCCTCCCAGACACAGTGACCCACTGTGGCCAGATCCCGCACCAGTGCAGCACCCCGTCAGGACCCCACAGGTACTGTGCCAAGGCCCCTGGGCTGTTTCCCAGCTGGAAGCCCCCAGCCTTTCCATGTCCTTTGTGACCATCACACTTGAGCAGAGCGCTGTTTCTGCCTCATGCCCCTCAGCTGGGCCCGGCTGGCGTCTTCTGCTGCCGAGGCCATGGCTGTCGTGGCCAGAGCACAGGGTGCTGCCTTGTCTGGTCCCGGAATGTCGCTATTCTCCCATCCGCCCTTGCTCAGTGGTTGGCGGTGACTCCAAGGCCTCAGAGATCCCTCATTTCTGTGCAAACCTTTGTCCCGTGGTGCTCCTTCCCCACCCCTGGGGACCTGTTCTTAATTTCTTGGATTTGATAGAAGAAAATGTGCTCTCGAGGGTCTGCTCCAGGCTCTCCTTGGGCTCTGCCTCCTGCCTGCTGCTACCTCCCTGCCCACCCCATGCAGCAGCCCCGGGGCCAGCACTGGCGGCTGACTAGTCACTGCTCTTCCAAGGGGCAGAGTGACGGGGGCGTCGGGCAGTGCATTACGGCCCTGGCCCCCGGCACACCTGCCGCCCTGCAGGGACCCTGTGTACTTCAGGCACAGACCCTGTTGCCAGGCCCTCTCCTAGGCCTACTGCCCCGAAAGCCGTTGGCTGCTTCCCAACACTGCTCCAGGCAGCAGCAGCAGAGCGGGCCGTCGGAATGCACGTGTGCCACGGTCGACTCCGGTGGACTCAGGCGGGGGCGCAGGGGGTCCCTCCAGGCAATGGGGGCTGAGAATCAGGACCAACCGCAGGGCGGCAACCATCCAACGTCCCACCCTCGGGGAGGGGGTTCCTTGCCAGGCTGCAGCGCCCCTCCGGCCATCTGCCGGGACCATGCTCGGCCCCAGGCCTACGTGGCCCCCTCTTCCGTGCCCTCCTGGCTGTGTTAATTATCATTTTTGTTAGGGCCGGCCCAGTAATTCCTGACTCTACCACTTTTGGGTGTGAAATGCAGAAGACGCCCAGGACACACCCCACCCCACAGGCGTTGCTGCTTCCTCGGCCACGCCCCGGAAGTCCCGCCTGACCCGCCCGCGCTCTCTTTGACACAGACCTGCGCCCCTTGGACATCCTGGCAGAGGTGTACCCGTCCAGCGGCGCCCCAGGCAGGATCAAGATGGTGCAGGCGCAGGGCGTGCGGGGCCTCCAGCTGTCGGCGGCCGCGCCCCGCACAGCGAGCTTCCCGGCCTCGAGGATTTTCTCCCGATGTGACCTCTTCCCCGAGGAGTTTTCCATCGTCGTGACCTTGAAGGCTCCCAGCCTTCCGCCCAAGGTCAGTGGCGCTTTCCTTCTCCACGTCGTCGGGAAGACCTGATTTTCCTTTGTGGTGCCCCAAGATCAGCATGCACAGGGGCGGGACTGATCCGGCTGTGGCAGCCCGGGCATCTGTCAAGGTCCCCAGAGCCACCTTTGGGATGCAGAGTGCTTGCCTTGCTGCCTTGCTAGGTAACGAGGTGCCCGTCCCTGGCAGTGTGCAGGCCGTGCGGTTCACCTTGGGCTGCGGCTGCACTGGTGAATCCGGGTTGGGGGGGATGCTCGGGGCTTTCCTGCTGAGGTCCTCTGCCCCCCATGCCAACGGCACACTCCGGCAGGCGGGAGGCGGGGCAGCCCCGCACCCACTCCCTCCCTTCCCGACTGGCCTGCTGGGAGGAGAACAGTGGAGTTGGTCTCTGGCTCCCTGCACGCCTACAGAGACACACAGATGGACACACACACCGTGCACACACAGGCGACCACTCAGAGGTGCAAATATATACACGGCCAGACACACACATCGACACCCACGCTGTGCACATGGAGCACACACACAGATGTACACGCACACGCACAGACACACACTATACACCTGTGGGTGCGCACACACACACGTTCACACAGACACTCCGCACCCCACCGGCGGACATGCGTACACACAGAAACACGTGAATCCTGGGATAGGCCCAGTAGCTAAGCATGGATTTGTGTCTGGGACTCGGCATGGCACCAGGGTGACCCCTGCAGGCTCCCCAGTGTCAGACTTGGCCCGGGACCCCCTGCCCTGCTCCCTCCTCTGGACCACCTCTGAGCCATACCGAGCTCTCAGGGCCGCTGTTCTCCAGATCCGCAGTGCTCACCTCCTTCCCATGCACAGCAGCGGCAGACTAAGTCCCCGCCTTGGTCACCCTCGGGCATGGGCTCCAGGACATGGCTCTGGTGACCAGGATGGGGACACCCCCGGGGTGCAGGCTGCTGCTATCGTTCTGCTTTTGTCCTGCTTGGAGCTGAAACTGACCCCCGACACAGCTGCCACCTAGCCGGTTCTATTTGATGATGCGGCCTAGCCCTGGACCTCATCAACTGTAGGGCATTTGCATCACCTCCGAAGAAACCCTGCAGCGAACTGGGTTCGGCACTCGGCAGCAACTAGTCTACTTCTGTCTCTGGGTTTGCCACATCCCACACACATGGAAGCATACAACATGCCATCTTCTGTGGCCGGCTAATCCTGCGTAGCCTGTGTTCTCGAGGCCCATCCATGTGGTAGCATTGTGAAGTCCTCAGTGCTTTATATGGACAAGTAATACCCCTGCCGCATCTCTACCACACTTTGATGGGCCCGCCACCCACAGACCACGTTTGCGTTATTTCCACCCTTTCCAGTTGTGAACAGTGTCACTGTAAACATGCACGCATGCGTCCTCGTGGACATGTTCCCATTTCCTTGGTGCACTCCTAGGAGAGGAATTCCTCGATCACGTGGTGACTCTGCCACTAACTTGGTTAGGTAGCTGCACGGTTCTACGTTCCCACCAGCAGTTGTGGTTTCTCCACATCCTTGCCACCCCTAGGCACAACCTGAGTGTTTTATTCCGGCCAACCTAATGGGCAGAGGGTATCTCATGATTTTGGTTTGTATTTCCCTGATGAATAATGATGTAGGGACATTTTTTTTTGGTACCGGGGATCGAACTCGGGTCCTCGCGCTTGCACAGCAGGCAACAAAACCACTGAGCTAAATCCCCGGCCCAGTGGGGAAATTTTTAATGTGTCTTCTTTGGAGAATTGTCTTTTTATTTTCATAGTATGGAGTTATTTAAAAATTCACTGAAAGTCCCTTACCAGAATATGATTTTAAGGGCCTGGGGATTTAGCTCAGTGGTTCCGCCGCCTGCCTCACAAGTGCAAGGTCCCAAGTTCAATCACTGGTACCAAAAAAAAAAAAAAAAAAGAATATGATTTTAAAACACTTACTCTCATTCCGTAGGTTGTCTTTTTACTTTCTTGATACAGTCCTTTGAAGCACAAAACGTTTACATTTTGTTGAAGTTTAAGTTATCCTTTTTCTTTTGCTGCTTGTACTTTTGGTGACACATCTAAAAATCCATGGCTAAATTCAGAGCCATCAAGACTTGCCTCGTGTCTGCTCCTAAGAGAGCTATCGTTTTAGGCTCCGTCCAAGCCTCAGTCCCTCTGAGTGTCTGCGTTTGGCGTGAGGTAGGACCCAGTTCCGTTCTCTCACATCCGATGTCCCAGCACCATTTGTTAGAGACTAATTTCTCCCTGTTGAAAGGTCTTCACGTCATTGTTGGATCTAGGGATGGTGGACATGTGGGTTATTTATGGCCTCTCTGTTTTATCCATTGATCTCTTTATTTATATGCCGGTACCATAGAGTCGTGACCACCACAGCTTTGTCATAAATTTTGAAATTTGCAAGTGTGAATTGCTCACCTTTCTTCTTCAAGAGTGTTTTGTTTATCCTGGTGCCCTTGAGATCCCATATTAATTTGAAAATAAACTTGTTGATTTCTACAAAGTCAGCCAGCTCCTGATAGGAATTGGGTAAATCTGTAGATTCACTTGGATGATGCTGCCGTGTTAACTGAATTAAGACTTCTGGCCCACAGACGTGGGCTGTTTTTCCATTGATTTACAGCTTCAACAAAACAAGAACAATGTTTTATAGTTTTCAGAATATAACTTTTGCAATTCATCTGTTAAATTCATGTCTATATATTTTTTTCTCTTCAATGCTGTTGTACACAGAGTTGTCTTAATTTTTGACTTGTTCATTGCAGATGTACAAAGTACAATTGATTTTTGTATGTTGATCCTGTATCCTGTAACTGTGTCCTGAGTCCTTCTATTCCTCGCTTGCTACATTTTTCCATCACGAATGAGCATTGGACTTTGCCATGTGTCTTTTCTGCATCTATTGGCTGTTTACTACACTAATTGATTTCCAGATGTTAAATCGATCTTCCGTTCTATGGATATATCCCACTATGGCAGTTTTATGTTCGTGTGACAAATACTTGGGATCATCAGGTTATAAAGAAGGAAGGTTTACTTAGGCTCAGTGCACAGCTCTGTCCACCGTCACTCGGTCCTGGTGCCTTTGGGCCTGTGGTGAGGCTGTGGCTCATAGTGAGGAGCACATGGCAGGGACACTGCTCACTCATGGTGGCCAGGAAGCAATGAGAGGAATTGGAGGGTGGAGCCCCAATGCCCCCTCCCAGGGTGCATCCCTGTGACCTAACTCCTTCCACCGGGCACACCTGCTAGGCTTTCAGCACCACCAACAGCACTGCAGAGGACCAAGCCTTCAACATGCGGGTGTCCGGGCCATTCAGACCCAGATGAGGGCATCCATGGTGCTAAAATCTTTTCTATGTTGCTAGATTCGTTTGACAGTATTTTGTTGCGGATTTTGCATCCATATCATGAAAGAGATCAGTTTATAGTGCTCTTGTGATTCTCTTATCTGATGATAGCAGGAGAGTGACGCTGACCTCAGAGAATCAGTTTAGACAAATCATCTGCTTTTCTAGTTTTCAAGAGCTTATGAAGAATCAATGTTTCTTCTCCTTCTTCTTTCTCTTCTCCTTCTCCTTCTTCTTCTTTTATTTCCACTGCAGCCTTGATTATTTCCTTGCTTGCACTGGCTTTAGGTTTAGTTTGCTCTTCTTTTCTCCGATGCCTTAAAGCAGAAGGTCAGATTATTGATTTGTTGAGACTTTTCCTGGTATTGGTATTTACACCTATAAATGTCTCTCAGTTTAGCACTTATGCTGCCTCCCATAAATTCTGGCATTTTCGGGTCAGGGATTTAGCTCAGTGGTGCCTCGAAAGCACAAGGTCTCGAGTTCGATCCCTGGTACCCCCCCAATAGATGTTAAGACATATGTTTTTGCTAGAGATAAAGAGGCATGTTTTATAGATAAGATGATTAACCTGTTATGATGATATAGCAAATATAAGTATATATACAAATAACAACAGAGCACCAATGTGCATCAGCAAAGACTGACAGAAGTGCAGGGTGAGATAGAGAATTCCACAATATTAGTTGGAGATTTCTGTACTCTGGTTTCAATGACGGACAGGACAACTAGGTAGATGGCCAACAAGAAGCTGGAGGGCTCGTCCAACACCCTGAGTCTGTGAGACCTAGCAGAGACCTGCAGAAGGCAGCCACGGCAGCATGCACAATCCCTGAAGTGCACACACGGAGCACGGACTGGGCTAGAAGAGAATCTCAGTCATGAAACAAACCTACATGAATGCAAGGGGAAAAGATAAGGCCAAGCATGTATTCTGGCAGTAATGGGATTCAATTAAAAATCAACAGAAAAATATTGGGAAACTCACAGCTACGTGACATTGAACAATGTACTCCTTATATGACTGAAGGGTCAAAGGAGAAGTCAAGAAGAAAATCATACAATAAATTGAGATGAACGAAAGTGAAAACCAAAATGCCAGAATTTTTTTTTTTTGTACCAGGCATCGAACTCAGGACCTTGTGCTTGCCAGGCAGGCAGTACAACCACTGAGCTAAATCCCCAGCCTTTAACATCTATGTTATCTGACATTAGGTTAGCCATTCCAGTTTTCTTGTGGTTTCTGTTTGCATGTACACCTCTTTCCATACTTTTACTTTGTTGTTGTTGTTGTTGTTGTTGTTGTTGTTGTGTTGAGACAGGATCACTATGCAGTTCAGGCTGGTCTTGAACTCACTATGTAGCCCAAGATGCCCTCAAACTCATAGTGATCCTCCTGCCTCAGCCTCCTGAGTACTGGGATCACAGGCGTGCACTGCCATGCCCAGCTGGTCCTTCTACTTTCAACCTATTTGTATCTCTGAATCTACAGTGTGCTTATTGTAGAGAGCATCTAACTGAGTCCTGCTTTTTAAAAAATCTGGTTTGAAAATCTCTGGCTCTTGATTTCGTTATTTAATTCATTCACATTTAATGGTATTGATACATTTTCGACACTCATCTGTAGGGACTGTCGTTGTGTATTCACCTACTTGCTAAAATTGCCTTGTAACCCCTAAATCAGTATTTGGGGTGCTTTCATAGCCATTCCTGGACATGCATGGGATGGTGGAAATATTATTTGCCAACATCACGTTGCCAGTAGATCTGAATAAAGTGACATCCCACCTTTTTGTCTCACCTCTCAAACTGTAAATGAGTACCTTTATTGTGGTCCATCAGGTGCCACAGTCTTCACATTTTTGTGCTTTTCTAATTAAAAACTATTTTTGGTGATTTTGCTGTTTGAATGGCCCATGGCATAGTGACAAACTGCTGTGTAGAGCTCCACAGGGAAAATACTGTGATGTGCCTCACAGGGAAACAGGTGTGTTTGCACATTCGAGAATGAGTCATGGTGTTGTTGGCTATGGTTCAATGCTAATGAATAAACAATAAACATCAAACATACATTGTATTAGTCAGCGTTCCATAACTGTGACAAAATACCTGAGAAAAATAACTTAAAGGAAGAAGGATTTGTTTTGGCTCACAGATTCAGAGGTTTCAGTCCACGGTCGTCTGGCTCCATTGCTTTTAGGCCTGGGCGGATGTAGACATCATGGCGAAGGGCATGGTGGAGGAAAGCTGCTCACCTCAGGGCAGCCGGGAGGCAGAGAGGGGAAAGAGCAAGAGAGGAGGGGGCTGGGGGCCAGGTGGAGTCCTTCCCACGTCCCGTGGTCCATGCCCCTCACTAGGCCCCTTATTCTGTCTCCTCCCCACAAAGCCATGAAATTCCAGTCTCGTCAGGGGCTTAATCCACTGCCCCTGCATGACCTAACCTCCCCAAAGCCCATCAGATTTCCTTCCCAGATGTTTGAGACCCAAACCATAACACACATGAAATAAGATTACGTAATGATCAGTTGAAAATGGGATCAGAGGCTCAAAGGAACCTAGCTCTGTGCTCCTCTAGGAGCAGTGGTGCAGTCTTTGCTAATGTGACTTCTGTTTTTGTTTGTATGGTTTTTGGGGTTTTTTGACCCAGAGTCTCACTATGTAGCCCAGGTTGGCCTCGAATTTGCGATCCTCCTGCTTCAGCCTCCCAAGTGCTGGGATCATAGGCATGTACCACCATGTCCTGCTTGCAGTGACTATATATAAAATAATTACCATTATCAATAAGAATCAGTTATAGGGCCAGGGATTTATCTCAGTGGTTCCGCCGCCTGCCTTGTAAGCGCAAGGTCCTGAGTCTAATGCCCGTTACCAAAAAAAAAAAAAGAATCACTGATAGTAAATTTGTGTTTATATTTGCTTTTTGTTTCTTATGCATCTTGTGGGAGTTTTGGGTCATTTCTCCCTGACTCCTTTCTTTTGCATTAAGTGAATATATTCTAATGCAGGATTTTGATTTCTTTAATGATTTTTTTTCACGATTGTTTCTTTAGCGGACGCTCTACTGCAAACCAAAAACTTATTTTAACTTATGAGAATCAACTTCAGATTTGTACTAACTCAATTCCAGTGAAATATAAAAACACTGCTCTTATATAGCATTGATCCTTTTTGGACTGGTCTTGTTGTATGCATATTATATATAGATGCTACAAACCCAAGAATAGATTGCAATAATTATTACTTTCCATAATTTTATGGTTTTTGAAAGAATCTTAGAGAAAAGGGAGAGCAATGTTATACTTACACCTTTTATTGTATTGACCTCTTTTCCTCATCTCTGACTGCCTTCGTTTTTCCAGTGGATTCGAACTACCATCTGGAGTGATTTCCTCCACCTGCTATGGCTTTGCCCCCATGCTCCCTCTTTGTGCTCTTATTACCAACTATCTTTTTCCCATAAGTTACAGGCCCATCAACACATTTTCTACTCAGTTGTCTTTTTAGTAAGGTAGGAGAAGCGAGGAGAAGAGCATGCATTTGCATTGTCTTCTGTAGACCCGTGTTCCCCTTCGCTGGTGACCTTGGACTTCACAGACCTACCTTTGACCTGCTATCACTCTCTGTCCGTGTGAGGAACCCCCTGGGTCTCCCACAGTGTGCCACCAGCAGCTGAACCCCTCAGTTTCTAATTCTCTGGGATGTCTTTGTTTGGCTTCCATTTTTGAAGGATAGCTGTTTGGGTGGAGGATTCTTGGTAGACCATGTTTTTCTTCGAGAATCTGAGAATCCCACTGTCTCCCGTCCTCCAAGGGTCTAATGAAAATTAGCCTTTGCTCTTCTCAGTTCCCTTCTCCACGACCCATCCTTTTTCTCTGGCTGCTGTCACAATTTCCCCCTCGGTTTGTCATGCAGTATTTTTACTATGATCTGTCAATTCGTGGATTCTTGGTATGTTTCTCATTTGGAGTTGGTTGAGTTTCCTAAATATGTAGATTGCTGTTTTTCCATACATCTAGCAAATTGTGAGCCATTATTTGAAGAATCATTTCTCCATTCCCACCTGCTTTTGTGAAGTAGTGTTCCAGCAGAGCCCCACATCCGGCTTGGTGGGCAGAGGGACCCCAAACCCACAACTCACTGGCTCCAGCAAGCACCCAGGAGTCCAGCACATCAGCAAGCCTCCTGCCCTTGAGAGACTTGGCAGAGTGGCCTTAGGATGCAGACAGGAGGCGGTCACCAAGCCCAGGGCTCCTCAGTCCAGTCCCAGGGCTGCAGCATGGGCTGCCATATCCAGCCATGCAGGTCTTTACATGACAAGGCGCCACTGGTACCAGGCCCTGCTCTCTGCAGATGGCAGCAGAGCCACCACCCAGGGGCAGCCCTGGCCACAGTAGGGTCAGCTGAGGGCAGAGAGCCGGCATGGCCTGCGGTGGACTCCGAGGACTGGGCTGCAGACATGGCAGCTGACACCATGGGTGAGGAGGAAACTGTGGGCTTTGCACACACACTCACCATGGAGAGTTCTGGGAAGTGAGACTGCATAAGGGCAAAGGCCCCAGCGCCTCATGGTCGTCCTCACTGCCCTGGGCCTGCACCTCTTGGCACCTCTCTGTGAACTGTCTCTGCCCCCAGAAACAAATCCTCACCCCTGTCCCAGGCATCACCCTGCATGGAACCGTGCTGTGTGCCTATGGAGAGACCCTGCCACGTGGCCGGGCCAGCCAAGCACAGGCACCCCTGGCCCTGGGTTCTCCCATCCTCCTCCCAGATCAGGCCAGAGCTTAGTTTACAAGGGCAAATGTCCTAGGTGGAGGCAGCGGCCCTCACTTCCACGATCGCTGTATGACTGCTGCCTCTGCACCTGGGGAGCCCATGATGAAACCAACTCATCCTGCTTATTCACCCAGGAGAGGTGCAACTCAGGACAGGACAGGCCCAGCCTGCGTCACAGCCAGCAACCACAACACTGAGCCAGAGACATGAGACAAACAAGACAGAAGAGGAAGGCTTCAATAAGCCACTCCCAGGAAACACAGGCCACACAGAGGGGTATAAAAGTGCAGCTAACAGGATCCACTCTCACACACACAACTCACTCATACTCACGCTCACATTCCCACCTCTCCCAGACACCCCGCCATGGCCAACTCCACCATGTCCGTCTGCTCCAGCGCTTGCACCGAGCCCTGGCAGGTGGACGACTGCCCAGAGAGCTGCTGCGAGCCCCCCTGCTGTGCCCCCAGCTGCTGCCAGCCCAGCTGCTGTGCCCCGGCACCCTCCCTGAGCCTCATCTGCACCCCAGTGAGCTGCGAGTCCAGCCAGTGCTGCCAGCCAACTTGCTGCCCTTCATCCTGCCAGCCGGCTTGCTGCTCCTCCTCCTGCCAGCCGTCCTGCTGTGAGTCTCTCTGCTGCAAGCCCATCTGCTGCAAGCCTGTCTGCTGCACACCTGTCTGCTGCACACCTGTCTGCTGCACCCCCGTCTGCACTGGATCCTCCTCTTCCTGTTGCCAGCAGTCTGGCTGCCAGCCGACTTGCTGCTCATCCTGCCAGCCATCCTGTTGTGAGTCCATTTGCTGCACACCCATCTATTGCAAGCCCGTCTGCTGCACACCTGTCTGCTCCGGGGCCTCCTCCTCCTGCTGCCAGCAGTCTGGCTGCCAGCCAGCTAGCTGCGCCTGCTCCCCCTGCCAGCCGTCCTGCTGCGTGCCCGTCTGCTGCAAGCCCGTCTGCTGCAAGCCCGTCTGCTGCACGCCCTCCTCCTCCGTGTCCCTCCTCTGCCGCCCCGTGTGCAAACCCACCTGCTGTATCCCCGCCTCCTCCTGCTGCACCTCCTCTTGCCAGCCCAGCTGCTGCAAGCCCTCCTCCTCCCTGTCCCTGCTCTGCCGCCCCACCTGCCCCCGCCCGGCCTGCTGAGGCCTCTCCCTGGGCCAGAAGTCCTGCTGCTGATCGGCCTTGTCACCCAGGGCTGGTGGGCTCTGGGCTCATGGGGCAGAGTTGCTCTGAGACCAACCCTGACTTGCATCCTTCCTCCTCGGGGCCCTTCCTGCCCCAGAGTTCCGATCCCCAGTCCTGCAGGCTATGCTCAGCCCCAGGGCTTGGTGGCTCCCGGACAGCTCCCAGGTCCTCTGAGGTGAAGCCTCACAAACCCTACTCTGCATCCTGGCTGGGCAGTGGTCACTGAGTCCTCCCCACAGAGCAACCTGGCGTCCACACTTGAAGTCAGCACTGTGCCCTCGCCCAGCCCCTTTGCACACATGGCAAACCATGCAGAGCTTTGACGTGGTAGGGCCATCGCTCTGGGACCCTGGCCTTGAGCTACAGGGTGACCGTGCAGCAGGCAGGGCCAGCCGACCCCTCCCACGTGCCCGGCTGCCTTGTGGTAGGCGTCTCTGCCAGCCCCCAGCACAGGGAATCTGTCTGCCATGGAGACTCGCAGGGACAGCAGGGCACCTACCCAGGCCTTGGCACGGAGCCCGCTGCCCTGCCCCTGCTCTCTGTGTGCCCCAGGCCCTCTGTGTGCCTGGCTCCGAGAGTCCCCACACCCCAGCCAGCTCTCCTGCACCCCTGGCTCCTCCCTCTGTCCTCTCTGCCCCCTGCCCAGCATCCCAACAGAATAAATATTCTCATTCCTGGAAGACACTGCCAAGCGCTCTGCTGATTCTTGACTCTCTGAGGACATTTGCTCTGTGACCTCCGTGTGGGAATTTCCACACCTGAAGTCTGCGAGTCACATTTTCGTTTTCTGCAGTTGCATTCTTGCTCCTGGGCTTATTTCCTTGTGTGATTAGTTATATTCGGCTCAGGAATTGTTCTTGGCCCATGAGTGGTCAGCATACTGGTGCTCCACCTTCATTTCCGACCTCTGCCGCTGGCAACCCTATTCAATGCCACGAGAGTGCCAGCCCCACAGGTGTCCTTTGGGACAAAGTGACTTCTGGTTTTGCTCAAGGATCCCGTTCTGAACAAAGTCTTTAGCTCAAGGACCAGAACTCGGTAGAAGGAGGAGGTTACCCCTTTATTTGCACCAACTCTCACCAAAATCCAGCCCTAGGCTGTCCCTGCCACCCGAGGCTTAGTCACAGACAGGTGGGACACATGGGTACCGTTTCAGTTACCATCTTTCCTCAGGCCACATCCGCATACATAATGGAAATGGAGAGCTTTGTGGTGGGCAGTTGGTAATGTACATACACAGCTCAACTCTTTTTAGGCCCCTTTCCCTGCCCCTCCACCTCTTCTACCTCCGTGGCAAGCCTACCCACCCAGTGCCCTTCTGCTCGGGCTGGCCCCTGACCAGCCCCTCAGCTTGCCAGCCCTACCCCTGTCCCCCTTAGTGGGCAGCTGAGCCTCGTCAGCTCCTCCCTGCTCCTGGCCCATGCTGTGTCTCTGTTGATCCATGAGCAATAAAGCCTCTGCTGCCCACGCCATCTCTCTGTGTTGGTGGCACTGCGGGTGGAAGGGGCAGAGGCCTGGGCCTGGCTCTGGGCGCTGGCCCTTGGGCCCTCAGGCATCTGCATGTGACCTGGAAGCCCCGTCCCCTCATTCTGTGTCTGCTGCCCACCCCTGGCCAGCTCTGATGGTCTGCAGAGGCCCAGGGTACATCCTGTTGGAGCCACACGGCTCTGACCTGCACCCACTCCCTGCAGATGATGCCACTCTGCCCAGCGCTCACCTGACCACAGCTGAGCTGGAGGTGGGACGCTAGCCTTAGCCTACCCAGGGCCCAAGGGTGCCCCTCAACACAGGATGGGCATTCTGGACTGTGGTCCACGCACCCAGGCACACCCCACACCCAGCACACACATGACAAAGATACAGCTTTGGAGCCCCTGCCCACAGGCTGGGTGAAGCTGGGGGGTGGTAGCAGAAGCCCAGAATGGTGAGAGAACAGGCCCATGGGACTGGGGGCTCTTGAGCATGTGTGTCCAGGTGTGGCCAGGCGGTGTGGTACCCCCACAAACGTGTGACTCTGAGGGCTCTGTCCCTAACTACAGGGGCAGAGCAAAGGCCACAGCCATGTGACAGTCAGTGCACTGACCACAAGGGGTCCCGAGTGTGCTTCGTGACAGGGGGGCATCACAGCACATCCAACACGGACCTTGCAGTGTCCTCTCCTTGCCGTCTGAGCAGGGCACATGCCTCACTGCAGTCACCTTTGCCGAGGTCATAGCTCTCCACGTGACCTGGGCAACACTGGGGGACAGCATGGAAAGCTCTTTTGACTGTTACAGGTGACTCCATGGGGACTGTCCCCACTGTTAGGGTCGATCCCTAGATGTCACCCCAAGCCTCGAGTGCTCATAAGCAGGGCTTTTGGAAGGTGCATTATGGGGCGCATAGCTGACTTGCTGTGAGGAGGTGGGGTCTGGTCAGAGACTGGGGCACCATGAGGTGACCCCCGCCAGGCCCCTCTGCCATGCTGCCCTGCCCTGGAGTTAGACAACTATGGAGCAAACGAAACCTCTACAAACTGTGAGCTAAATAACCCTCCTCTTTCAAGCTGTGGGTGTTGGGTTTCATGTGTCAGTGACCAGAAAGTAACTAGGACAGAATTTGGTACTGGACAAGTGGGGTTGTGGCTGTGACAGCACCTGACCATATGGTTCAGAAGCTTTTGGAACTGGTTCATGAGAGGAGTTTGGAAAGGTTTGAAGCTGCCTCCTGGAGACGTCCTAGAATGCTATAAGCTGAGATGAGAGATTCTGGTCAGACCTCAGAAGACCAGAATGCTGATAGAAATGTAGGCAGTAAAGACCAGGCTCAGGAGGTTTCAGTTGGGAACAAGGCCTGCATTGGTTGCTGGACTCATGACCATGTGTGTTATGATCTGGCAAAAAAAAAAAATTTTTTTTTTGTCTACGTTTTGCTCATGTCCTGAGATTTTGTGAGATACTGCAATGAAAGGCAGTGGGCTAATTAATCTGGCAGAGGAAATTTCAAGGCAGCCCAACAGTCAGGCTGTGACAGAGCTCCTGTTGGGGACTTTAGTAAGCTCTACATTGAGAATTGAGAGCAAACAGCCCAGTTGAGTAGTGGTGAAAGTTTTGAATTTCACTAGAAAGGAAGCTCCTGTAAAGCTGGGGCCTGTAAAGTTGAAGGAGAGGAGAGGTTAACTGCTGAAAAGATTAGAATTAAAAAGAAGCCAGGTACTTTGAATCAGTACAATAGGAAAGGTGCCTTGAGGGCATCAGGGGAAACAGCAAGACCCTGGCCATCAGCCTACCAAAGTGAAAAATTGGTTTCAGAAGGGACCCCAAGGGCACTGCGTTGCAGAAGGACTGATAGGGAATTTGTCCCTCAGGATTTGGTTCCTAGTGCTTGGCCAGCCATCCAGGCACTCAGAGACATCTGCAGCCATGATCCGAAGGGGCCCAGCTACTATACAAGAGGGCAGCACACCTTGGCATTGTGCATATGGTGCTGGTTTTATGGGCATGCAGAAAGCAAGGGATGTGGGGTTCCACCCAGATTTCAGAAGAAGCGTGGGAGGCCAGGCAGTGTCCTTCTGATAGGGCAGTAGGAGAAGCTGTGAGAGTGATGCAGAAAGTGCAATGGAAACTCTGAGGAGTTGGAAAGACAGAAACCTAGAATGTCTGAGGAAAACTACAAGAAGTGAGCAACGCCAGGCCAAGAGAGATGCCATGAGAACTACAACTACCAGAAATGCTGTAGGTGCAGGACCACTGAAGCCATTTGGAGTTCACATCTCATTGCTACAATGTGCCTGGAACTGGACATGGCTACTGGATTTAGTGTTTGCCCTGTGTGTTTTGGTCTTGCTTTTGGCTTTTGGCTTTTGGCTTGTTGCTTTTTATCACTCTATTTCTCCCTTTTGGAATAGAACTGTTTACCCTTTATCAATGTGTCTTGGGAGTGTTTAATATTCTTTTTTATTTTTACTGAGGTTGATAGTGAAGTTTGCCTTTAGTCTGTCTCATGGGGACTTTGGCCTTGGACTTTCCAGTGATGCTGAAACTGTTAAGACTTTGGAAACTCTTACAGATGGACTAAACAGATTTTGCATAAAGAGATGTGTACAATTCTTTTGGGGGCTGGGAGGAACGTTATAATTTATGCATAGATGTTCCTCTAAACCCCATTAGCTTGAAGGTGGGGCTTTGGATTGTGTGAGTGGTTTAGCTAACTTCCTATTGGAGAGTAGGCTAGAAGAGGTGGTCACAGCAGGTGTGAGCTAACTATTCCCTTGATCGCTCCCTGCTTCTGATCACCATGAGAGAAGCTTCTCCTCCACCACCCGCTCTGCGATGCTCCCCTGCCTTGGGCCAGCTGACTATGAAATAAAGCTTTTACAAGCTGTGGGTCAAAATAAACCTCCTCTCCTTTCAGCTGTGTCATGTCTCAGGGAGAAGAAAGTGACTAAGACACCAGCCATGCGGCCCTGGCCACAAGTGTGAGTCTTCCTATTGTCTGGATTCCGAGGAGTGGGATTTCCAGTGCAAGTGTGAGATGTAAATCTTACTAGGTGTCATCACACCCTCAGAAGGACTCTGCCCATCCTCCCTCCTGAGAGTGACATCAGAGGAAACTGGAGCAAGGACACCCGAGGCCCCAGCCTGCCAAGGAAGCACAGCACTGGAAAACACACAAACGCACACGCACATACACACATGCACACACAACAAAAAATGCACAAACCGGGCGTTGTTTTCTGCACTGTGGAAAACATTTCCTAGGTTGCAGTCCCCGCCCCATCCCCTCTGGCCTATTCGGAACTGGGTGGCTCAGCAGGAGGAGGTGAGCAGTGGTCTAGGCAGTGAAGCTTCACCTGCATTCAGAGCTGCTCCCATCGCTCACATCACTGCCTGGGCTCTGCCTCCTGTGACACCACCAGGGGCACAGGATTCTCACAGGAGCCAGACCCTACTGTGCCCTGGGACTGGGAGGTGTGTAAGTTGTGCACTCCTTAACGAAAATCTCATTTGGAACCTCCCTTGCAGCCATGGAAAAACATGTCATCCATGAAACACATCCCTGGTGCCACAAAGGCTGAGGACCATGGCACCACAGAAAGGGAGCAGGCAAGCCAGAGGAACCACCAGGGACCAGCAGGCTCCATGGCATTTCTGCTCCCAACCCTGCCTGCTCTAGTTGGACACTGGCGTGGGGGCTGATGCCAGGTGGAGCAAGTGGACCTTATTTCCTAGGAAGTGTGGCTACCTCTTTTGATGGGGCTGGGGCTGCCTGAGGGACCAACACAAATGGCCTGCCTTGATTTCTCCAAACTCAGACTTGCCCAAGGTCCAGAAGTAGCTTCAAAGAGAGTGTTTGTTAGAACACTTAAATGTGAATGAAGGGTGGGGGATTTAGCTCAGTGGTTCTGCCGCCTGCCACACAAGCACAAGGTCCTGAGTTCAATCCCTGGTACCAAAAAAAGGTGAATGAGCTAGCCACCATTACCAAGGGCAAAGGATGTCAGCTGGGGAAAGAAATGGGCAACACAAAGACCTAAGAGGAAAAGCTGGTGGATGAGGTCCTTTGGGGAATATGTGCTTTGGAAGATTCTGCACATTCCTGGGAGTCTAAAAGGCTGCACACCTGCCAAGGAGGGGCGAAGCTCAGAGAACGCCTGAGCAGCTCTCAGTGATCACCAGGCTGAACTTCAAGGTCTGAGCAAGCAGGAAATGAACAGGAGCAGGAAGTGAAGACAGGAGCAGGAAGTGAAGACAGGAGCAGGAGGTGAAGTTGGAGGAGGAAGTGAAAGCAGAGCAAGAGGCAAAAGGAAAGGCAGGTGTAAACTGTCCTGGTGGAGTTGAGGGTGTGCTCAACACAAAAGTACAACCAGAGCCCAAGGAAAAATAAACCAAGGTGAAACTATTTTTGGCCACAGTTGAGTTAGTCAGCTTTCCATCACTGTGACAAAATACCTCAGGTAAACAACTTACGTTTGTTACCTCAGATAAACAACTTATAAGCAGGAAAGGCTGACTGTGGCTCAGTTTCAGAGATTTTACTCCACGGTTGGCTGTGTGTTGTTTGGACCTGAACTGAGCAGAACATCCTGTCGTGAGTGTGTG